CACATTTCATCAAGTTACACCTTTCTGTTTCACTGTGTAGTGATAGCTGACTCCAGGTCTTTCCTGGTGAACAACCGGATCATTAGCCTCCTTTTTCTCTCAAATCCCTCCTACAACGATCACTTTATTTCGTGAGAAACACTTTTTTCTTTTCTTTTTTTCTTCATCAAGATTTAGTCAGATGTTCCATCTGGTGATCTTACATCATTTCTCCCCGCCTACCAACAAGCGGCTTTCAGTGCCTAGAGTAGGCTGGATCTCTGCCTCCAGAGCTCTGGGTAAGATCAGCCATGTGACAAAACACAGGGCTGACCTGGCATGTTTTTTCCTCTTTTCTTTTCTTCACATCTAATTCACAGGTGAATCTTGTAAGATTATATCCAAAAAATTCACATTAGTCCAATAGGCATTGATCTGACATATTACTATGACGTGCATCCCATGCCCAGTGTGCATGGACTTAAAAGACATCTGAAATCTACAGTACTGGACATATGAATAAAAGCCAGAACATATACATTTTTAAACAACACTTAAAAGTCTACAAATAAAGTTCAAATTTTTTAAACTTTGACCTTAGTTTCGCTGACCTTTGTCTATGCATCCAATCACTGCTTTTGTTAATGTGTCATATTTTGCCCTGGCTGTGCCTATACTCAACATGTAACCAACATTTCTGAATTTCACAAAAAGTACAATAACATGATCCTCATGTTGAGATCAGACAAAGACAGACAACCTATATAACCAGGAAAACCTCATCACGCAAGCACTGCTATCAAGATTTGTAAAAAAAAAAAAAAAAACCGGTTTGAGCCTCATTGTAGCTAAGAAAGTGTTGTTTTGTACAGCGCCCCCAAGACTTTTTACTTGAGTTTCTGTGCCCATCAGCACAGAACGCGCAGTGCAAAACCTTTGCTTTTCTGATGTAATGTGAACACACCTTTAGCTGCTAATGCTGAACAGAACTTTTCCTCTTGCTGGTCTTTCACATTAAAATCGTTCCATTTTCAGAACACTGACTGGCTATTGTTGTGAAGTGGTCATAGAAAATGTAACCATTTTGTCACTGACATTAGAAGAAGGAGCTTTATTTTATCGTCATTGTAACATGTACAAAAAAAATTTGTTTGGAGCCGAGGGCCCCTGTGTGCGTACTTGCCACCATCACAAGCAACTTGGGGGGGGTTCAGTGTCCTGCTCAAGGACACTTTGACATGTGGCCTGCAGGCACTGAGATTTGAACCCTCAACCTTCCAGATGGAGACGACTGCTCGACCCACCGCACCAGTGTCGCTCATTAGCATGGCTGTTAGAAAATACTTCTTTACAACAAGACATTATATTTAGGAAACCTTTGAAGGTGCATCTGTTTTAATGGAAGTTATGAAGCAGACAGTCAGTCCATATATGGAAAATGAACTGTGATGTGTAGCAGGAGGTCAAATCTCAGTCAGCACAGGTATCCTAGCCACAGGAAACATAGTCCCCTACAAAGTGAAGTGCAGGTGAGAATGCAGAGTGAGGAGGGGAGGGGCAGTGCAAACAGTGCAACTAGTTGAGTGCATTGTTAGAAAGCGTCCCCAGGGGAACTGCAGCGGCAGAGAAATGGTTCTAAATGAAGGAAAATGAACAACATGAGCAATCCAGAATATTGTGCAGAGTGTCGGGTGGCTGTGCCCCCCCCGCCTCCGTCCTTGTATGCGTGCGACAGCGCCAACCTTTCTTCACATTCCACAGTGACAAAGACTTTTGTCCCAGCATTGTGATTTAGGTCATCATCAATTCACTTCCTTTTTCTGTGGCATTTGAAAGACGTCCAATCTCCTTGGCTGACAGAATCACCCCATGCCTGTTTCCATGGCAAGCGAGTCAAGATGGAACCTCCTCCAATGCGTGTTCCCAAAGTAAATCTCCACTTTCTAAGGGGATGAGCTGAGGGGGTTGGGAGGTAACTTGCGGTCGTTTCTCTCTACGGTGAAAGGTGCAGGAGGTGCATGCTTTACAAACCTACAAATTAACCATCTCCTGTACCTTTAATGCAGTGAGGTAATACGCACGTCTGTTGTTACCGTGTGCATTGTGTAATAGATGAAGATACCTAAACTAAATCTAATGAGGTTAATGAGGTTGACTCCTCCCAGATTTGCAATTTATCATATTAAATTTCGCATCATTCAGCTTTGCCTCAAAAGTGCTAGGGCGACTCAGAGCCCCGGGAAACCGCGCAGAGCTGTCTCCGTTACGCACGGTGCTGAAAGTGCCGGTCGCCGCATCATGTGGTCGATCCTCTTTTTCTTTATGTATTACTTGAACAGAAATTTCGTCAAAGGCGACCTATTGACCCGCGCTTTGGACGCAGAGAAGGGGGTCAAAGAGATGTTCTCCGTGGTCAACGACACCTTTTGCGCAAAAATGTCAAACCTTGAGGAGAATTTCCTTTACCAGGTATCAGATGGAACGGAGGTGGTGCGCTCCGTGGTCAGTTCCGCCGGGAAGCTTGTGAACTGTTCTGCCACAGTGAACAAGATTCAGGTGAACTCATTCATGCATGAGTGTTGGTTAGGGCTGAAAGAACAAAGAGCCGCACGGGAGCTGCAGACGGTTTTTGCGCACATGGACAAAGCCAAACTGATGTGCAGAGAGTTTAAAGCGAGGTCTGAGCGCAGCGGCAGTGTGGAAATGGATGAAAGAGATGACTCTGCGCTGCAGCACAAGGTTTTAGAAAGATCCAAGCGAGGCTTCACTTATCCAGGGACCCTGTGGTGTGGAGCCGGTAACATGGCTGATCACTATGACCAGCTGGGTAGGTTATATGACTTCATTGTTTCTAAGCAAATTAAAATAATGTTTGTGTAATGTACCCGTGTGTCAAATATATAGCCAGTTTAATAAGTGTGATCTGCTGTTTGCAGGAAGCGCTGCAGAGACCGACAGCTGCTGCCGTACCCATGACCACTGTCCTCATGTCATCCACGCCTTCTCCTCAAGTTACGGCTACACTAACTTCAAGTGGCACTCCATCTCTCACTGTGACTGTGACGATGAGTGAGTTCAAACATGTGCTATTCCTAATGTGTTTTTACGTTCATGTAGACATTGTTAATCCCACTAGTTAAAAAATTGCTGACAGATTTGATGAGATCGAGTCAGTTACTCTTGTTAATCAATTAACTATTATTATTCCATTATAAAGCATTGCGCGTCAACTGTAGCCTATACTGGAATTTAAATGATAGAAGTGACATTGATTTGCAGAGTCTGTTAGCGGCTGAAACAATGAAACCATAATGATGTAGTTTTATAAGAGTTAGCCTCACTGGGTTTTAAATCAAAACCAACAGAAAGAACTGTATAACAAAGTGAAAGATAAGGTGTTATTTCAGTGAGGTAATAATAAATGCAGCTCTTAAAAATTAGGAAACATTTTGCATTTACCATCAGTTTTTAAAGCATCATAAAATATTTTAGCAATGCACCAGAAATAACTAAAGCTCAGAGAACCTGTTAACTGGCCATTGCTACTTTTAAGTCATTTTAACAAATGTTGCTGGCCAAATTGTTTTATTACTTTACTTTTTTAAATAATAAAGTTCTGTTGGAGATAAAGGTTATGATTATCTGTTAATAAACAGCTTCTAAGGCAGGAACTGTATTTGTTTTGTTAGGTTTTTGTCTTGAATGTTTTAAAGTACTAAGCTGTGTTATCAGTACCACATGTACCAGTCAGTGGCTCAAATGAATGTATTGTGGCGACCCTCACAGTATTTATTTTGAGTCCAACAGACTCAACAAATGAGAAACCTCACAAAAGCCACCTCACTGTCTTTTTTCCATCAGCCTGTTACACAAGTACAGCAAAGAGGACAAGGTCATAATCTCTTCTCTGAAAACAAGTTCCCATAAGCACAGATTGCAGTAGGTCTATCTTCAGACACTGAGACACTACAATCTCCACAACTGGACAGTTTGACGCCAAAGGCCGCAGTGGCCCTTAGGAGTAATAACTAAAGACAGTCTAACAGTGATTCAGCAACATTTAATACACATTCATTTATAAAGCCCATCACAGCTGGTTACATTGAGTTGGTAGAAAAACCTGAAGTGTAATATAGTTTGTTCCCATTGAAGAAGGTGTTTACACAGAGATGTCTGTCTCTCTGCTCAGCCATGCAGGTTAGTAAGTAAATATGAAAGAGATAATTCTGGGATATTTGCCAGAGTGCAGAAGCATCTGAGTTGTGTTTGAAATTTTAGCCTCAAGTCAAACACAAAAAACAGGACTTTACTGCACATCCTTGTTTTAGGAGTGACTCTTCTCTTGTTTTCTTACTGTATCACCTCATGTCCTCTTTTGCATTGATTCCTGAAATGGGCTTTGTTTTGTCATTCTCTGTAGGCTGAAAGCTTGTCTGAGGAAAGTCAATGACACAACTTCCAGGGTTGTTGGTCAGGCATTCTTTAATATTTTTAGTGTGCCCTGCTTTGAGCTAGTCTATGAAGACCAGTGTAAGGAGCGACACTGGTATGGCCTGTAAGTATCAAACTTTTAAGCAGCTTTGCAGTGCACTGAACTGTATTTCTCTCTGAAATCGCCATACAAAACCTTCCCTTCATTCTGTTTCTAAAGGTGTAAGCAATATGAGAAGTTCCCCATTGCTGTGATGAAAGAGGCGGTCCCGTATGGCTTTCGTGGTATTGATGTCATTGATGAGCTGACTGTAGCGCCTCCCAAAAACAAACATTCCAAGAAAAGCAAGGAAGAAGAGAAACCGGAGAGCACAACTTTGTCTACTATGTCAGGCACCGAAGAGCCTTCACTAACAAATGTTGTCACTGCTGCTGAGGACTTCATCAAGTTCCTCGCTACTGTCTCCACCTCTCAAGGCTCCAGCCCTGACTCTGACAAAGGCGAGACACAGAGCTCAGAAAAGAAGAAGAGGAAGAACACAGGGAAGAAGAGGAAAACCACTAATAAACAAAAAGGAAAAGGAAAGGGGAGGAGGAGAAAGCAGAAAGCAGAGGCAGGTGTTAAAGTAGAGGAAGGAGCAGCTGTTTCTCCCTCTGGCAACAGAGCAGAAGAAGTCATTGCTCTAAGTAACTTCATCAATGAGTCACAGAAGCTTGACCAGTCAGGTAGAAACACAAACAGAATGGGTGACAGTGAATATGAGCTTGGAGAAAAGGAACAACCCTCCAATGAAGTCATGAAAGACGAACCAGCAATGGATAAGGAGACTGTTTCCATTACATCACCTCCGACAGTCCAGAAGAAGCCAGCAGAGTCACACATTGATATGCTCATAGAGGAAAACACTTCTTGTACGTCAGCAAGTGTGACAACTGTTATTCCACAGAAAGACAAAAACAAAAGGCTAAGAAAGGGGAGGAGGATGAACAGGAAAATAATTCCTCTTCCTCCTTCCAAAGAGCTTGTAGCAAACACAACAGATATTCTAAGCACCATGTCTACCTTCACCATCATCACCCCAGCATCACAGCCCAAGCAGCAAAGCTTAGGGAATGACACTGAAGAGCAACCTGTCGTCAGTGTCAACGCTAAAAGGAACAGGTCAAAGGAGAGAAAAGATGGAAAGGGCAGGAAAAAAAATAGGAAAGTCAGCTTAGTTTCTCTCTCTGTGGCTGCTGGCCATGAAGATCCCCCTGCCAGTGATCTGAAAGTGATCCCTCTGAGCGCCACTGTACCATCGGCCCTTGGCCCAGAGTGGCAGGTTTCCCACAGGCCTGGTGTTTATCTAGGCAATATGACCGCCCACATTAGAGCTCTGAACTCTTCTTTCGCTGTTTTGAAAAGGCAAAGGTTGAACGAGAGGGGACTGAGAAACAAAAGGACGAAAACAGTTTTGCCTCTTTCAGGTGAAAATCCACTTTTTCACAACAGCTCTAAAAATGTACTCCCTATTCCCACAACAACAGATGGTTCTGTGATCACTGCTGCAATTAGTGGACCCATGGAACAACTAGAAACTCACCGAAAAAGGAGGCGTTTTACAACAGCTGCCCCTACCATCAGCACAAAACAACACAGGAAACAGAGGAAACCAAGAAAGAAAGCCATGCCTTTACCTCTCAGGGATGGAGCTCAAGTCCCTCTACAGACTGTGACATCCAACACTGCAACTACTGAAGAGCCCAGTCTGCAAAAATCTGAAATATCTGAAATGCAGCACATGACCACCTCAGCAACTCTCGTCATGAGCCCCGTTCAGTTCTCTAATGAGAAAGCAAGAGCACAGTTCTCTCGGAAGAAGAAGAAAGCAACTGTCAGACGACAATGAGCCATGTGGCGCAAACGTGATGGATGAGATGCATTTGCTTCCTGACAAGTTAAATACTAAATTAAAATATTTAGAATATAATCTTTTCTGGTTTCAAATCACAGATATTGACAGAAATCATGTTTTGTTATACTTTATTTTGCATGACTATAATAAAATTTCTAAATGATTGGTAATGTATCTGACAGTGCTTTGCTTTGTATCTGGTGCAAAAATAAATATTGTACTTTGTATTCACTACATTTATTTGATAACTTTAGTTACTTTTCAGAATGAGCTTAATTAAATCATACAGTATAATCATTCAACTGTATTGATGCTCAGTGTAAAATTCACAAGATACCCAGTAGTAGTATGTGAAGTACCTCAAATTATAAGCATGGTACTTAACATTAACTCCACCTTTACCAATTGCAACATTTATTAATACATCAATCATCATAACCTAATAATATGAGATACATTAATGTGAACTGTGCCATTCTGCATAAAAGTACTTTTGTACAAATAAATGCAGAACATTTACTTGTAATAGAGTATTTTTACACTGTGGTATTGCTACTTTTACTTAAGCAAAAGAGTACTGAGTACTTCCTCCACTACTGCCCATACATGTACACTGAATATGAAGCTACTACATGCAGCTTAAACCCACAACACATCCATTTTGCATTTTGGCTGGTGCACAAATAAAACAAGCCAGATTTGTTACAGTAATTATTGAGCATTAGAGGTGCTAATAGGTGTATCTGGCATCTTAGGACAGTAATTATTGAGCATTAGAGGTGCTGATAGGTGTATCTGGCATCTTACAGAGCCAGGCCAGCTGTTTTCCCCTGTTTCCTATCTTTGTGCTATGCTCAAAGAACTGACTGCTAGCGGCTGTGGCTCAGGAGGTAGAGCGGGTTGTTTCCTAACCGGAAGATTAGCGGTTCAATTCCCAGCTTGTCCAGTCAACATGTCGAAGTGTCCTTGAGCAAGACACTGTACCCCCAGTTGCTCCCGGTGATGTGAATGTTTGGGAGTGTGAATGGCCAAATAGTGTGAAAGCGCTTTGAGTGTGCTGTAAAGCATAGAAAGGCGCTATACAAGTATAAGACCATTTAGCTTACATGAGAGTGGCATTGTTTCTATTATGCAACTCTTGGCTAGAAACAAAAGAAGTGTTTTCCCCAAAATGCTGAACTACTTTAGAAACCTTTGTAGATGTAAAATAATAGATAGATCATGTTATTATAGCACATTCCCTTTTCACAGCTGGAAATATTTAATCAACACACGGCTTAACACATAACCTGCTTAACCCGATTTAAATTTTCTGTGAACCTTTCCTGAAGACAGAAACCATGCCAAGAAAGTCCTGAGGGTGTACTGTGCTCTTTTGTTCCAGGGGACTGGGAATTTTGGTTCAATAGCTGCCACGCCTGGTGTAGTACCAGCCAGGGGCACACTGTACACCTTACTAGTGAGGATTGTACTACTTCAGAAGCTGAAATCCTCCGGGTCTGCTGACTCTCAAAAGTTTGCATGAGAGGAATTTTTGCAGATACGTTTGAAAGTACGAGACATTGAAAGAAGATATAACATTTTTGATGTATCATTTGATACATGTAAAATGCTAAATACCTGCATCAAGTAATAACATAGAACTAACACTTGTTTTAAAAGAATAGTTTGTCATTTGGAGAAATACATTTATTTAATTTCTTACCAAGCGTCTTACTCTTTTGTTGCAGCTGGAAATATTTCATCAACATTGGAAATCTGAAACTCAGAGGCTTAAAATATAACTGACCTACTTTATCTGAGGACTGTGGTTTTCAGTTTGCCTCCCCCTGTGGGCGTTAAGGCAGGGTCACATTCTCCACACACAATAGGTGCTTACTTTGTACATTATAACTTGATCAGCTGAAATCTTCTACTTTAGCTGATGCTTGTGTAACTGAAAAGGGTGACATCTAGCTGTCCATCACATGTTCTGTAAATTGCAATTTGTCATGTTGAGGAAATATTTTCAGACATACTGTACAACATCAGATTATAGCCTAAGCCTGGCAAAGAGTGGGACCAATGTAATAGTGTATATTTTTGCGCTACTGCTCCCATTCCAAGAGTTTTGGAAGACCCCCAAGCATTCAGGGGAGCCTGGTCATCCACTGGGATGTGTGATAAAGCCATTTCTCACAGTGAGAAAAAGTGGCAGGAATTTTCCATGTCATCTGCAAGTTTATACCCTTTGAAAATATGTTTTGGATAAAATTATTATTCCATACAGCTACCTACAGTCTTGGCCCAAAATATTGCAGACAGACCACTTCTCTCAAAAAATTGTTGCAATCACACATTCTTTAATATCCTCGTGGTTATTTTTGTGGTTGTTTGCATTGGAACAACACAAAAAGCAGAGAAAAAAGCCAAATCTGATCCATTCCACACAGAGCTCCAAACATGGACTGGACAGAATTAATGACACCCTCACTTTACAGTTTTTCTGAATTGCTAAAACACATTTCTTGAAACCACCACTCATTTTCTCAAAACCTTAAACACAAATCCAAATACTCAAACTAAATTCACAAAAACTCTGACTTGTCTGGCAAAATCAATCAGTGAGTTTCTTCCACCTCTCTAGTGGAATTCTGGATCACTCTACTTTTGCCAGCTGCTCCAGGTCTCTCAGGTTTGAAGGGTTCCTTCTCCCAGCTGCTGTGCTGAGATCTCTCCACAGCTGCTCTATGGGATTTAGATCTGGACTCATTGCTGGCCATTTCAGAACTCTCCAGAACTTTAGGTAGGTAGAAAGGCAGGTTCGGTCCTGACATGAGGGTTGAAACACTAGCACATCTGCCTCTGAAGGGTCATGCTGTGAAAATTTGTGTTATGTATTTTGGACCTGAGATTATTAATGAAAGAAAAACAAAGTTCTGACAGAGAGGTGTAATGGGGGTTCTGGCGGAGCTGTTAAAAACTCCAGCATCTAAAAGTAATAAGAACCCATAACTAGACATTTTTTGTAGGAGGTCACAAGCTAAAAGAGTTGGAAATCACTGGTTCAGTATCCATTGTATTGTTAAAAGCTTTTGTTCTTTATGTGATAATTAAATCTGCAGTCAGATAGAGGAGTAAAAAGTACAATATTTCCCTCTGAAATATAGAGATGTAGCAAAATGGAGGCACTTAAAATTGTGTCTAAGGACAACATTGAGTAAATACAGTCTATTGCTTATCACCACTGAATATTAGTCATAAAAACAGAAGGAAAAACATGGTTAATAAAGAGAGCTCTACTACAACATCTGACCATTTCCACAAACCAATGTAAGGTGCAGCTGGGCGCCCACTGACTAAGGCCCTGTCAGGGGTTTGGCCTTTGATGTTTGAAAGAGAAGAGCGCAATCATGTTTTATTTCTGACTGGTGAGACTGGCAAAGAATTTCTGGCATTTAATGTTTGGGTGCTATAGCAGCTGCAACCTGGCACAGGCGCTGCTTTTCTTTTCCTGCCAAAAACACTGAGCCAAGTGCCTTGTCAACAGTTGTGTACAGTACGTACTGTACACAACTGTTGGCTCTGAGTAAATGAGTCATCATAAACATCAAAAAGAGTGTGGGTGGTGGCTGTCACTCCCCGGCTGATCTTGGCTTTCCCCTGGATTGGAAGTGGAGCAGGAACCACCCCGGCAGCTCTCTACAGGCAGAAACACAGAGGTTTCCCTTTCAGAACAGCCTCATCCTGTATTCACTGGAATGGCAGCTTTGGTTTTTAAGGTAAATGACCTTTACAGCTAGTAACACTTTATAGCACTTTAAAATAGCCCATGGAAAACACAACAAGACCAGAATGTAGTGAAGAGAGAATGTATGCTACATGGGAGCTGTGTGTGCAAATAGCAGTGAACGTGCAATTATGCATGTGCTAACTGAGTGTGTAAGCAGTACAGATGAAATTACATGAGGTATTTCCTGAGCCAGCTGTTTAGACTAGGCATGGTACAGCTTTGAGCTGAATGCTAACACTGGTTTCAGCACGCTAACATGCGCTACTGGAAGAAGTACCAATGCAACATTGGAAAAATTCTACATTACAAGAAAAGGTAATCCATTTAAAACCCCACTTCAGTAAAAGTACAGAATTATCACCAGCAGAAAATACTGAATGTATCAAAGTAAAAGTATTTCTCTTAAAAGTACCCTCTGAAATGTAGCGGTGTAGAAATGACAAAGGAAATGGAAATGTGCAGGTAAAGTACAAGTAACTCAAAACTACTTGACTAAATGTACTAATACTTACTTTGTGTACAGGAGTTTGAAGCCCAACAAGCTACAATACTGGTACTTTACTTAAGTGTTTTCATTTTATGATACTTTCTACTTCTACTCTACTACTCCTCACTGTATATTGTACTGCATATACAGCTACAACTACTTTTCAGATAAGAATTTACATAAAAACAGATCTGCTTACAAATTGTATAGTTTCCAAGATGAAAACAGAGGTTCCCAACTGTTTGGGGTTATGAGCCCATACAGAAAAGCAGCTGTGGCCCCTTGTCACATTTCACATGACTATGACTTGTTAGTTCTTTTTTTAATCCCGAGATGCATTACACAAAACCTCTCTGGTGGTTTAGTTTAAATACTGCTTTATATAATGTGGTTAAAACGATGTTCTTCCTGATCACTTACATCAGTAAAATACTCCCTGCTTCACTGACTGATTCATTGGTTTTAACATTCTAATAATGTCACAATAATCTGTAAATCCGGGTTGTTTTTCTGTAGAACTAGTTCTGTTATGTTGGATACTGGTAATACTTTTTTACTTTCACTTGAGTAGGATTGTGTAAACAGGACTTGTAATGGAGCATTTTTATATTGATGGGTTTATATTGGGGTTATGAGCCCATACAGAAAAGCAGCTGTTTTATGCAGGTAAAGAATCTGAGTACTTCATCCACCACTGGCTGCTTGCCACAGACAAATACAGTAGGAGTGCCCGGGATGAGATCAAGATTCCAGGGGCATTTCATATTGTGGTGGTGACCTCTAGTGGATAAAGTCTAAAGGAATGTTGGACAAGTCCTGCTCCATCCAGACTCATCTATACAAAGTAATACTATAATAAAGTACAATTTTGAGTTCTTTGTAATTTTCTTGGGTATTTCCATATC